GCCGCTCGTCACCAATCTCCACTTGGACATCAAGCCGTTGACTGCAACTCTTTTGAGTGTGACCATCCAGTCAGTTTGTTATCCACCGAGTGGTCCATCCATCAAATCCATGTCGCTCTAATTTACAGGCAAGGATGTCGTGTGGGACAGTGTCAAATGCTTTGCATGAGTCCAGGTAGATGATGTCAGTTGACAAGTCCCTTGTGTTTACAACATTAAAGGACAACTGTACTGTTGTGAGGTTTTTTCCTGCTGTATGGTAAACTAGGAGACTGCTGTAGTGTCCGTCTATACAGAACGTCATTGCCCTTCTACTTTAGAGTGGCAGCATCTGCAGCTTTACCGTGTACCAATGGGAGACAGTGACATAGAATGAAGTGCATAGGAGGAAATGAAAAGTCAGTTTATGCAGTAGTTTTATATGTTGTTTAAAGAGGCAGCTAATTCTTCTACGCAGAGCCAGCTAGGTGACTCCAGGATATTTTAAAGTCCTTTTGCAACATTCTTCAAACATCTTGGAGACTCCATGGAAGCTGTGCAGTAGTGTTTGCTGCAAACTGTCAAACATTTTGTTTTGTGTTTAGTAAGCTTGGGTGATTAGCAGCTGTTTGAAAAAAAATTTATCAAAAAGACTAAAGAGTTTGAAAGATGATTGGAAAAGTTGGGCTAAACGTGTTCCTGAAAAGACAGTAGAAAATGCAGAAATGGAATTAACTTCATGTTCTCTTTTGTTCATGTTCGAGATTTGAAAACCAGTATGTTACATCTGGGAGAAGAGATGACATTTATTTTTCTTTCGACATCTGAAAGATTGGTCTTCTCTCCAATCTTACATATCTATCTGTATCTATCTATCTATACAGACTTGTGTATACTTCAGAAATCCCTGAAGAAATCCCTTTTTAAACTTGCCATTTTGACATTGATTTGATATGACTTGATATCATACTTAAAGTAACTTAGTAGCTTTTTTCTTAGTTTTTTTTCAAAGTTACTCTGTGTTAAATCAAAAAGTTATGATTGTTATGTATTTCTGACTTCCCAAAACCTTGAAACATCTTGAAATTATGAAAGGTGAAAAATTGTAAACAGCTCTTACTTGAAAGTGAGAAATATCTTGAAATTAAGTGAAGAACTCTAAAATTAGGTATATTTTTGGGATTGTCTGCCTTACACGTGAAGAGAGCTCTGTATAAATTCTAATTGGTTAGTCATACTGTATTTATTGTCTTATATGAAACCTCAGCTCTTGGTGTCACATGATTAAAAGTTGGTCTTTATAAGAGGAAACTGAAATTTTCTTTTAACTTTCATGGTTTCAGAGAAAATTTTTAAATATGACCATGTCTACCTAAAAACTTGTAAAACAATTGAGGCAAAAGTTATTTTCTTTGTATTTTCATTGGCGTGTTTCAGACTTTTGCCTGTTTGGATTTAGCAGTTTTGAAAAAATAAAGAATAAAAGTGATTTATTATATTACTTCTTTTTTTAAAGATGGTGGGTTTTTTAATGTAATGTTAGGATAAAAGCAGTACTTTACTGAGTGTGATCTGTGGAAGCATAAAAAATGATACAATTAGACAATATTTTTTTTTTTGTCTTGCAGATTAGTTCGAATATTTTCAGAACGCTTCCACCTAGTGATAACCCAGATTTTGATCCAGAAGAAGATGAACCAACTCTTGAAGCCTCATGGCCCCACATACAGGTATGTGATTCCTTTATTTTCAAGCCTCCTCTTGAAGCAACAGCTGTGAATGGATTCTTGAGTCATTTTGTGCCTTTGGTAAGTGTCACCCTTTAAGGCTGGGCCTGGCACTTAAAGCAGGATGGCAGAGGCTTTCCCCCCGGCAGGGGAAGGGAGGAAAGGGAGAGAACCTTATGGGTTGGAAAT